ACCCTCAAATTGATGGTCAAACAGAGTTTGCTAAATATAGTATTTAAGAAATGCATATACGCTCAGGTGGTTAGAAACTCGTTGTTGCAACCTTGTCTAGCCTGCAGCTAAGCCACTGTTTGTTGACCATTATTTTGAGAAAATGGAGTTTTGAAAAGTGATTTTTTTGAGAATGTGTGGTTAAAAGTAGGAAAACGTTTTAGATTTACATAAAAAATATTTTATTGTGTAACTGTGTGGTTGAAAATGAGTATGAGAATTAAAGAGTTTTGAAATAATGGTTGTCAAACAAAGGCTAAGTTTACTTACAGCTATTCAGGCAAACCAATTCACAGGTAAGTCCTTTTGAAGTACTTGCAGTGTTCATTGTTTTAATATAAACATGCTCTAGTGCTAATAGATGCACTTGCAGTGTTCAATATCCATGTTGGTATATTTTTTGTCTTTTTGTATGACATAATGAGTAAAATAACAGAGACCACAAAATAAACATGTACCTGACGAGATAACTGCTGGTGATACAAAGCACCGGCAGCCTCTTTAGTAACTGGAGAAGCAATACCAACACTTAATAACCAATCTTGCATCTCTTCTTTGGTACCCATGTCATCGTCGTTTGTTCCACCAGTCTCATTATTAGAGCTTGACAGAAGCTTTAACCTCATCCTCTCAGCTAGCACCACCATCTCCTTAGCCTTGCTCTATTGTTAAATAAATATACAAGCAGAAGATTTATAGGTGGAAAAACAAGAAGAAACCACAGTAAAAAAGGACAGGTTGTGCTCCGTTCTAAGATTAACAAAACCTTTCATCAACCATCAAACGCTATCTTTTAGTTTCCATACACATTAATAGGTTTTATATACATATCCCAATTCAAAAGAATTCTATTTTTGACATTTTCAAGACTGTTTCAGAACAATCAGTCCATCACTGATAGCAAAGTTGTTCGCAAGAATACTAAGCATTGGGCCATGCAATGTAAAGCATTTGAATAATTCACAATAAAAAGGTATATAAAAATGTTCAGGCAATAATTTAGAATGGGAGCATCAATATAAAGCAATCAGCACATTGCATCCAATCCTTGTACCTCCGATCAAGGTTATAAAACTACATTTCACGTGAGATACAGATAAGAAAAGCACAAACCACTTTATACAACCAAAATTTACCATATCTTTCTTAATTTGTCAATTTTCTCACCCTATGTTCCAAAACTAACGCCAAACACGGATGCTCGGATAAAAATCTGCTAAAGTCAAATGTTAAATTCGATAATAGGGAGATTATAACATTTTTACGTACCATGAGAGCATTCAAATCCTGAAAGGCATCCTGCAAGCTCTTGTCAGTACTTTCCCACATCTCCTGCTCCTTCCTCAAAATCCCTGACACTCCGACTACAGGCATTTTCAAAGCCAGCGACTCCGAACCCTCCCTCGATCCCGACCCTGATCCCGACTCAGTAGCGGACCCACTCGTCTCCCAGGCCCGCCCTCTCCAGGCGTCCCAAAATTTCCCCAAAAACGAATCAGTGTCCACCTTTCCCCTCAAAATCAACGTGATCACCAAAGATTTCAGTCCCTTTTCCGAGACCTGTCTCTCCGGGGTGGTCGAAACCTGAAATCGGATTCTCGGGCTGTGGAACATGGACTTGATCGATTTTTTTGTGGAGAAAATGTGCTGAATTGTGGAGAGGGAAATATATACAGCAGTGGGAGTGTTGCTATCTGACGATAGCCAGAGTAGACGGTGGGTTGTGAGGATGAGAAGACCGGATTTCAGGACTGGAAAGGCTGAGAGGTCTTCGGAGAGGAGGTCCACAGTGGAAAGGAGAGAACACTCCACCTCGCCGGAGTCCAGAACTGGGCGGCCGCTCGCCGTGAGTTTGGCCTCCGGAAGAAAGTTTCCAGCCATGTTCCTTGTTGGAATAGATACAGAATCCAAAGGGTAAAAAGATTTAAAAGACGGTGTTCTATGGAGTTATTGAGCATTTTATATGTCACGTTTCATTCTTCTTCTTCTATTTTGACCGCGCACCATTGCTCACCCAACTTTATAAGATGAGTAATGATATTCATAATCGTTCACTATGACAGTCGCTTTACGTGACACATACAGACAAGTAGTAATTTGATGCATTAATGTGGTAATTTTTTACCACATTAATGCATCAAACACACACTTGACATGTGTGTGTCACATAAAGCTGCAAATAACATTATTCTTATAAAATTGCACTTTCACCGACTAACTTCTGTTAATTAACATGGTCTACTTGGATAACGGATTGCACATGTGGCGAGTTAAATTAGTCCAACTCATAAGTGAAATGCCACATAATTTTCTTCTCAGCCTAAACACTCCTTAACCATTTTAAAGCATGTGATTGAAACCTTATTTTCAGAAGCACGACCTCCATCCCAAACTCTCAAATTTGAAATTCTCAAACCACCGTGAACCATATCCCCCAAATTGAAATTGATTCAAAATAAACGGACTGCATACCATGATAGTTGAAACTGTTGACGGAGAGAGAATCCAGAGAGATAATTCCCAAAAAATTATTATTTTTCAATATCACTGGTTTTTTGCTGCAAGTAAGTATTTTGTTGTTCCGATTAGGGTTGGACAAAACTTCAAAACCGAATCGAATTGAACCGAACCAAGCGGTTCTTCATAAGTTAAATACTCGAACGGGTATCTGAATCGAGAATCGACGGGTTTGGTTCGGTTCTCGATTCTAGACCTAGAACCAAAGAACGAAATAAAAACCGAATTTAAATAATTTTTTTTCATTTTTTATATTGAATAAATTAATTTTTTTTAATTTTTTCTAAACAAATTAGCAAATTAACTGATTTAGTGATTAATGTTCTAACTCCCAATCCAAGTCCATGTCTAGCTAGCCCAATCCAACCCAATTTCTAAATTCAATTTTTTATTTAATTTTTTGGTCCTATTATTAATTTCACTCTTAACCCAAGATTTAGGTTTTTTTAAGTTTTTATCATTCTCTTTCCAATTTCACACTTTCATTCGGTAACCACCGAGTCAATGACCCCAAATCATTTCATAAATTGAAAACATACATCTACATGCCCAAATCGAAATCGCCGACTGCCGAGTCCGACTTCCCCTCTCCAATGCCATCGAAACCGCGACCTCCAACCACGACCACGGATCGTTGACCATTAAAAATCTGTTAAAAAATTTAATTATGATATGGAACCGAACTGAACCGAACGGAACCAAACCCGAATGGTTCCAAAATTATATTTGGACCCGACGGTTCCATTTATTAAATACCCAAAAATTTTGGTTTGGTTCGGTATGGTTCTCTTCAGAACCAAACCTGACCATGTCCTACCCTAGTTCCGATTTAGTTGTTCATGCTTCTGAGTAATATATTGAAGTGCAACAAATGTTGTTCATGACTCCAATTTGTTCAATGTTTGCAATTTCTCTATTTATGGCACCAATATATTATGTCCCTCCCTCCGTTCTTAGTTTGGAAGTTGTTGGAATTAGCTATGTGTTTATGCAACTTGTATGTAACATACAACAAATGGAGGGTACTGCATTCTATTGTAAGTTTTGTAAAGTTTAAAATGTATTTTGATGTGTATGATAATGATATTATAACTTTTGTATGGAAGATCGAGAAATCAAGGTCTAACGACTAAAGCATTCATGCAATGTTTCTACTGCATCATAATTCAAAGATTGTACCATTATCCTTGTGAAAGATTGAAATCTTGTTTCTTTTATTCTATATGTATTGGAAATTGCAATCTTTTACTTTTTATGTGGTAGATTGGTAGATTTGGTTCTTCTTTTATAGTTCGATTTAATC